CTAATTTTGTTGTGAATAAAGATTAAAATCTGAATTTTTCAGTAAAAATTTGGAAAAAATAATAAAAGATATAATCCTTTGACACTATGCAGAAATTTTTTTTCTTTTTTTCAATCTTCGATCAATCATTTTCTTTTACTCACATTATCATCCGGTTCTCGATCAATGGATGATCGCAGGGATCCGCTATTATGAATGGCGATTGCTGCATCCGTCCATCCATTGCCTCCCGCATACTCCAGTGCATTCTGATTAATAAAAATAATTCAATGTTCAATTCAACAATCATAATAAATCAATAATTATAATAATTCAATCCTCTTCCTTTATTAATTTATTTCGATTTCCTCGATCGACTGGAGAAAAAAATGGCCTGAATAAAATAATAATATATTATTATTATTAAATTTAAATTAATTTCCTTCGGACTAATAAATTTACTTGACACCAGTAAATTTAATTTAATTTTTTTTTCTCATTTTAGTCTATTGCATTGTTGCAGATGCCGAGTGTTTTGCGAATAGTGATTCAAATTCCAAATTGAAAATAGATTCCAAATAAATTTACAATTTATAAAAAAATTGGTTCATCAGAATTCAAGGCTGAAATCTCACTTTAACAATTATAATAAATCAATAATTATAAAAATGAATTCCTCTTTCTTCATTCATTTACAAAATATGCGTGAACACATTTTATTTTTCTACGTTTGATTAATTGAGAAAATAAATGACTTTTTCCAAATCTTCTGGCTTTGGTCAAGTAAGGTGAATTTAATTTTTCTTCTAAGTTTAGTCTATTGCATTTTTGATGGATTAATATTTGGATTAATCAATCAACTTCATCAAATGATTATCAATAAAATAATCAATTCCCTAATTATTCAATTAGATTTTGTTCTTGTGTGGACCTTTAGGTTTACTTTGAACGCTAAACTCTAAATAGTATGCAAATAAATGAAATAAATGAACACCATTATATTATGCAATAGCATAACTATTTTTACTGCATAAAAAAATGAAAGTATACCGTCATGAAGGATGGGTTATAGGACAGGCAGGATTTTGGAGATGAGCTAATGGACAGCGCTCAAAATGTTAATGCATTGAATAAAAATCCACTCCAAAAGACATAATTGGATTTGTGAACGACTAAATAATCGGCTTTATGCCTCTCTTTGTACTAAACAAATTTAACAATAAAGTTATTAGCGCAATAATTTAATTTGATTAAATTTAACGAATTCCCGTGCCCAAAACCCATCCCTCCACGGTATATCATCAACAATACTCAGAAATACTTCAAATATACTTCAGAATTCAAAATGAAATGGTATTTTTGATCTATTTCATTAATTTTAAAAGTATTCAGAATTACATGGATGACTGGAAATGGCTGAGACAGTTGGGTTTTTCTGCGAATTAGATACGGTTGAATATTTAAACCGACGTTTTATGTCTAGGTCGTCTGCTGGAGACTCGGTCGTCACCCTTCTTGGTGGATTAAGCCTCAAATAATTGAGAACAATTCAGTCGATTCATAAACCCTTAAATCATTTCACATGTCAACAAATTGATTAATCGACTTGAACCCCGGGAAATCCCATTGATGGAATGGGGAATAGCTGCCGCCAGCGGTACCACTTCGAAAAAAAAACATGTGCTGACTGTCAAATGCTCTGTGATAACTTCAAGGACATATTCACAATCGTAAATGCTAAGACATCAATTTTTTTTTAATTCTATCCCCGTGATTGCCCCGATACAATTATCGAGTGAATTTCAAATTATTTTTGTTGTGGTTAATTTCGACAATTATAAATCAATTCGAAACTCCTTTAGATATTTATTGGCATTGGCCCCGATACAAATGGAAAACATTGAGTAAAAGAACCGTCGGCTTTCTTCAAGACTCGATTTCTACTTCCATCGAGCTGTAATAATTGAAGTTTTATGCGAATTTTTTTTTTGATACAAAAAAGTCAATGCATTTCTCCATTGAAAGCCTTGGGTGGAAATATTCTAAATTTTTTTCTCGTTTCGATTGTTTGAGATAATAAAACTCGGGGAAACAGTTGGATAATTCGTGCGTCAGATTTCTCAGAGAAACTATATCAACAGAATAAAGTACAAGAAAAATCAGCATCTGCTCACTTTTCTGTATGAATAATAAGTGTTGCATAATTTTGAATAGAATTCGCGCTCAAAGTAAATCTAGTTTTTTAATATAAATCTACAATAGTATTAAAAAAGCAATTGATAAATGTTGGAAGTAATAATACAATCATTAAATTCTTAGTTATATGAGTTTGAATTAAATTTCAACTGAAAATGTTTACAAAAGTTTATCTGGAACATTGAGAAAATTAGGTTTTAATTATTAACCGATAATTGACTTATCAATCAAACTCGAATTTTCAAATTCATCGTAAAATCTGAACAGCAGATACAATGCAATTTTTAATGAATTAAAAGTTTAAAGAAGTTAGCGCATGAATTATCAACATTTGATTTCACAGATTTTTGAATGCTCTTGAAATTCACTGATTCGTAATCCAGAATTTGTTAATATTGCTAATTCTGTTGACAACGAATTATCTTTTCTTTCCACAATTGAAATATGTGAACCCGTATGGAAAATGGTATATATGGGTATGTTTTGTTCGAGAATTATAAATTGTTAATTAAATTATGAATTTTTGAATTGAAATCGAGTGAATAAGTCGTATCAATCTCACAATTCTCCACGCAGTTTTATCAACGGAATTCGTTGTCCCAAATTTTCAAGCAAAATCGGCTAAATCAACAGTTCGGCCAATGGGCATTGACCGACTACGAATCGGTATCGTTTTCCAAATCTATAATCAGTCTCGTCCTAGCTTCATCAAGGACTCTACAAAAAGGTGAACACCTCCTGATCCCCAAGTACTCGATTTCGGAATCAGTTATAATTACCCTGGCCGCCCGGTGAGAAATATTCAATAAAAATTACATGTCTTTTCCGTAATTGGTTGCAGAAAATTTTACGGAACTGTCCCGTAATTTCTATCTAAAGTTACGGAATTTTTGCGGCCTTCCATAATTTTTATCTGCATTATCAATGAAAAATTACGATACCGTCATTTAAATTTTTCGAGCCGATTCCGTAATCGGTACACGGAGAGAAATATTTAGTAAAAATTACGGAACTTTCAGTTCATTTACCGATTACGGAGTTGATTCGAAAAATTTAAGTGACGGTATCGTTATTTTTCACCGATAATTCAGATAAAAATGACGGAACACCGCG